CCTTGTTTCTCATTCCCAGGGCATTTCTGCCGTTCCTATCTTAATGAGTCCCTTCAGCTGACCTTGGAGTTCCAGCTTAAGCCATGGCATTAAATCAGCTCTTTTTTAGCAGCCGTTTCATTCCTCCATCAGCAGCTATTTCAAACAGAGGACCCTTACAACATGGGCAAGTTATGCACCTCCAGACTAATGTCCAGGACTTCGTAGCCTTTGCAGTCTGTCTCTTTGCATTGGGCATTATCAAAGCATTTTGAACGTCTGAGCCCAGGAGGTCACTTTCTATCTATTTCTGGTCTCAACTGAAGTGTAAGGAGATGGTTTGGTGATGTGTTTGTTTTTCTTTCTTTCTTATTAAGGCTATTTCTTCATGAAATAGCAGAATGGAAATAGTAACTCATCAGCCATCCAAAAAAAAAAAAAAGATAGGTCTATTTGTATTTCTTGCTGGATTTATTTCTACCTGGGAGCAGGCATGTGGGTGCTTTTGATGTGGCACATGGGTCTCAAATGCTTAGACCTTTAATAGTACGAAAAATCATCTGTGATCTGCTGGCGAAGGTCAGCTTTGGACCAGCACATATTTGGAGTTCCTGTGTGAGAAGTGTGAGCTGTTAATCCTGATCCTGGTGCAGCAAGTCTGCCTGATGGAAAGGTCAATTTGCCATAGAAATCTGGGTTTTGCTCAGGTAGGATTTTTTCAATAAAGCTTGGTGTGACCCTCCCTGAGGTGCAACTACAGTTGTGAGAACTGAGGAGTTACTTTGCTTCTCACCATTTAATAACTGTTGTTCGTGCATGCCCCTGGGTGTGTTCTGCAAATGCAGTGTGCATCCCCCCAAAGTGGGCATTGGTGGTGACTTTTAACAGGTTCAGGTTGAGAGGAGGAAGGAAAACTCTTTGTGGCAGGTTAGTCTGTTTTGATATTTTCTTTCGAAGTGTCTGAGAGCATCAGGTGCTCTCCCAGGGAGGATGCTGAGCCAGATGGATCAGTCTTGACAGTTCCTCTCTTCCCAGTGCTTTTGGGATGGGTCCACACGCTAATAGATGGGTGAAAGGGACCTCAGAGCACAGTGACTTTAGTTTTCCTTCTATTTGCACCCAGCTTTGGTTTCTCTTCCTTCTTTCTTGTTTCCTTTCCTGTCTAGTTTTTTTGTTGGGGTTTTTTTTTTGTATACTTTGTGGTTTTGGGTGCCTCTTCCCCCTTTCCTAGCAGTGAGTATCCTGCTGTCTGAGCACCATGCGATGGGGCAAGTTGGCCTCTTATCAGGAGCTTGCATGGAACTGTAGCATGCATCGGCACAGGTAGAGCAAAACTGACGGAGCCGTTCTCAGATCCTGCCCCTTGCTGTCCAAAGTGGAAGGCAGTGAGCTGCCAGACTAAGTAAAAAAAAAAAAAAAATCTATGGTGTTTTGCAGCTGTGGGAACTAAGACGGGTAAGCACTTGCATAATTGCAGTGTGTGCACATGTGACCAGATTTATAGGTGTTACTTCTAGGCCTCATTGCCTAGTTCTGGTGGCTTTGTGGAAATAAATGAGCTAGAAATGGTAAGTTGTTTGTATGGGGCCTTCCAGCATTCGTCAGTTCTCAGTCTGCTCTTGAGCTGTCTGGAAACGCATGCTGTCTTCTCTAAGTTCAGCTTTCACTCTGCCCACTATTTGCTTGATTTTTTGCTATTTTAGGAACATTCCTAAGAAAAAGAAAGCTTGTTGTTTGCTTTCTGCAACCTTTTAAAGGATGGTAAGTGACTATTGCTGAGATGAATTTCAAGTCAATGTTCAGTCTGATCTCCCTAGATGCAGGGTTGTACTGTTTGCAGGTCTGTCCCCAAGTCTCTGAACTTCTGTTGCTTGTCACATGTTTTCTCAATTAGGAAAGCAGGTTGTATAAGAAAACATGTTAATGACAAACCATGTTAATAAAAACTCTTGCCCCTAGAGGAGCCACAGTTTAACACTTTAATTTGGTTGGTGATGGCTGGAGGGTTTAACATGATCCACGGTGTTAAACTCTGCTGATAGCTGGAGATAAAAACCCTTTTAAGCAATTGTATTTCAAACGTGGCCTTTTCCCAGGCAAGACTGTGCTGTGACATTTTGTCCTCTAAGACAGGTAGAAGCTACGCTTTGGATCTCTGGCACTATCTTGTAGCAGCAACAGTACTTGGGGTCCCTGGTGAGGCTGAGCATAAAGGCCGTTGTATTGCATTTGTGTGGCAAGGTTTTTGTAGTGGGGGGGATTACAGGGGTGGCTTTTGTGAGAAGCTGCTAGAAGCTCCCTCTGTGTCCGACAGAGCCAATGCCAGCCGGCTCTAAGAGAGACCTGCCGCCGGCCAAAGCGAAGCCAATCAGCGATAGTGGTAGCGCCTCTGTGGTAACATATTTAAGAAGGAAAAAAAGTTGCAGCAGGCACAGAAACTGCAGCCACAGAGAGAAGTGAGAACATGTGAGAGAAACAACCCTGCAGACACCAGGGTCAGCGCAGAAGGAGGGGCAGGAGGTGCTCCAGGTGCCGGAGCGGAGATTCCCCTGCAGCCTGTGGGGAAGACCATGGTCAGGCAGGCTGTCCCACTGCAGCCCGTGGAGGTCCACAGTGGAGCAGATAGCCACCTGCAGCCCATGGAGGACCCCACGCCAGAGCAGGTGGGTTCCCAAAGGAGGCTGTGGCCCCGTGGGAAGCCCGTACTGGAGCAGGCTCCTGGCAGGACTTGCAGATCTGTGGAGAGAGGAGCACACGGAGGAAGTTTTCTGGCAGGACTTGTGACCCCGTGGGGGACCCACGTTGGAGCAGTGTGCTCCTGAAGGACTGCATGCTGTGGGAGGGACCCCATGCTGGAGCAGGGGAAGAGTGTGATGAGTCCTTCATCTGAAGAGGATGAAGTGGCAGAGACAACATGTGATGAACTGACCGTAACCTCCATTCCCTGTCCCCCTGCGCCGCTGTGGGGGTAGGTACAGAATCCGGGAGTGAAGCTGTGCCTGGGAAGAAGGGAGGGGTGGAGGGAAGGTGTTTTGAGATTTGGTTTTATTTCTCATTACCCTACTCTGGTTGATTGACAATAAATTAAGTGGTTTTTTTCCCCAAGCTGAGTCTGTTTTGCCCGTGACAGTAATTGGTTGAGTGATCTCTCCTGTCCTTATCTTGACCCATGAGCCCTTTGTTATATTTTCTCTCCCCTGTCCAGCTGAGGCGGGGTGAGTGATAGAACAGCTTTGGTGGGCACCTGGCATCCAGCCGGGGTCAACCCACCACATCCATGTCTCCTCCTTTCCAGTGCCATTACTGGGATCACTGGGAGCATTGCCCATGCTCCAGTTAGACCTTGCTCTGAGACATAACAGGCCTTACTGCTGCACCAAGGTGCTTTTTCATGTTTTTTTTAATGGTGTTTGCTTTTGCAGCTGGCATTTCCTAGGTGTCCATCCTTCAAAACCTGTAGCTTGGCACCTCATTTCGTGCTGAAGAAGGGAGCATCGTGTTGCAGCCCTAGCCCCGATGATGGCTACTTGCCGTTCCTTTGCCCCGGGTACCTTTAGGTGTTGCTATTCCCAACTCTCCACTCACGTTGTCCTGGTTGCGTGGGGAAGGACGCCCTTGGCCCGAATGCCTCGCCTGAAAAGAATGCAGACAGTCTGGCAGAGCGCAGGTTAAATAAAGTTTGCCTTGGCAGGGCCCATGCTCTTGGATGTACTATGAGCTGCCGGGGCGTAGTGGTGACGGAATTGCAAGCACGAACGCCAGCTGCCAAGAGGAACGGGTCTCCTGGCCCTGCTTGTGGACTCCTCTCCTCTGGGACTCTTGAAGTACTGGTGAAATAGCAAGCCTTTTCCCTACCCCAAGCCCATACTGATTCTCCCCTCTTTGCTCTGGAGCCTCCCACTGACGAGGACGGCGTCAGCAGCCCATTGCCGTTGGTGCCGCACCACCGAGTCCCGGTCTTGCTAAATCGATGGGGACCCTCCTGTTGGCCTCTGTGGCGTCAGGGATTTTTCTGCTGACCTCTCCTTATTCCAGGGAGAATGATTTTAAGCACTGGCGAGTTTTGACTGACGGCTGTGGCTTTTGCTATTACACGGGGAAGTGACTTCACGTCTGGGAAATAGGGTCTGCATGATTGATTTAGAAACTTTCCCTGGCCAGCACTTGGGTGGTGTGGACACATCTCCCCCGTGCAGGCTGCAAATGTCTCTGAGCCCTTATGTGGAGCGGCATTCCCGCGGCCTCGGGATTTGCAGGTTGTTACCGTATAAAGGGCACAGTCTTGGCCTAGCAGGAGGGTCGACCAGCAGTTCTGTTGGCAGGTACTTAACTTTCCTTTTAATAGATGTGCAGCTTGGGGTTTTGGATGGGAGCGGCGATGATTTCATTGCCTGCCACCAGTGGATGGAGCAGGGTCGGACAGCAGGGGAGCAGCAGGATATTCATGCCTTGCCATCCTGGGAGCATGTGTTTTGGTCTCCAGGCGAGACACCCTTGACTCTAGGTAGCAGAAGGACTGACGAGAGGAGCAGAGGTTGCCAGACCATGCTCATGTCCTTCCAGTCAGTCATAGCAGTTGTTTTTGAGTTAAAACACCAATTCTGGTGCTTCTCCTAGCTGTCTCAGCTCTGTCACCTGCTTGTTCGTGGACATAACTTAGGAGGTTAAGGCCAGTCAGACCCCTTAGCCGTGCTCCCTTTAGGGACCAGTTACTCATTTGGTTTCCTGCGGGCAGCAGGGCGATGGAGGTTTTCCTGGCTTTTGCTTTTCCACTGTGACTTTGCATTAGTGTTTCTGTCTATAAGATGGGTATCATATACATACTTCTGGTGCATGGGGAAACTCAGCTAATTAATACTTGTGAAAATGTTTGGTGTATAGACTTGGAAGCTGCATGTTAACTTAACCCAGCAAGCTGATATTTCTCTCCAGGGCCTCTGATTGGAGGAAAGCTTCTGAGTTGGTACCAAGCCTTTTCCTGACTTTTCCTGACCTCTTTCTCTCTCTCCCTGTGCCCACAGGTGGCTGGAAGTCCAGGTGGTTAACCTGACCTGCACCCAGCGTTGGGTCCAGTACCTCCAGTTGCTACAGGAATCCATCTGGCCTGGAGGAGTTTTGCCAGCAGTGCCTAAACCAGCCAGGACAGAGGAACAGAAGAAAGCAGCAGCAGAGCAGGCCCTGCAGAGCCTGATGGGCATCTTGCCTCGTAAGTGTGCCCCAGGGACACGTCAGCTGCCCTTGAGAAAGGAGCAGGACGGGTGGCTGGGGAACCCTCCAGTGCATTGGCATCTCTGGAAATGTGGTTAAACACAGAGATGGAGCCTGCTCGTGCCAAGGCAGTGGGAAATGTTCGTGACCTTTGAGGTTTGAATGGTTTCCTGCAAGCAAAAACCACAGTTTCCCAGTTCTAGATAGTTTGCATAACCATTTGAGGAGCAGCATAGCTCAGAGAGAAAGGACATGTGTCTTGGTGATACCCAGAAGCAGCGCGGCCACATACTCTGTGCTTAGTGCTGGTGGTGCAGTTCCCGCTGAGCCACCTCAAACGAGGTAGGGCTCAGGAAAGCCAGCACCACGCTGTGCACCTGTTGCCAAAGGGTACCATTGCTGAGAAGAGTCGTAAGGCAAAGCCTTTGGCTTCTCGCTCTGAAAAGTGGCTTTTCCACTGGACTGAAATCATGAGCCCAGCTGCACTGGATTTCCCTCTCTTGAAGTTTGACATGGGGACCTTGGGCATTAAAGCAGCTGCTGCCTAATCCATGTGAGTGCAGTCTGAACTTTTAACTCCTTGCTGCAGTGTAAGGGGCCCTTACTCTCCTTTGGGGATGAAAAAGCACTACCAGTATATGCCCTTCCAGGCTGGAATCCTTTTCTGGCATTCAGTCCTGTCCCTGGCTGTTTTCAGTCATGGTAATGTTGGGCATGAGATGCCTCAAGCTCAGAGCACCGTCACAAACTTTGATTTAGTACCCAGCAGAAGACCTGACCCTGTTTTACTACTGTGGAAATGTGTAGTTCCTAAAGCTTTGTCTCTGATGTTGACAGATGTGATCCAAGAAATCCTTGGAACCACTAAATGTCGGATGAGCTGGAACCTGGTACTGGAGTCCCTGGGCCGGCCTGTGATAAACAGGTACATGGACTATAGTCTCATTATTCTGATAGCCTTTGCTGTGGGGCCTGTAAGCTACTGTCAGGGCTTCGCCATGAGATTCACACTGCCAGCTTCTTGGCACAGGACTTACCTGGCTAATTATCATAGGCTTATACTGTCAAAGGGCATCTGGCTGGCTTATTATGAAGGCGCATGTCTAGGACCTCGATGTGGCTGGTGATCATTGAGCCAGTCTTGTTAATTATGTTGTCGGGCCTGCTTAGTTCGTGGATGTCAGGGGACTGTCAGAGGAAATAAGATGAATCCTGGTTTAGTTTGTTGTTTTTAGAGGAGTTTAGGGAGCTGCATATATGTATAGATAGAGTTTTTCTGGATACCCATCACTGTGCATTTGGAAAGCAATGTTTTTGTGATTAACTGCAGAGAAATGCATGTGCCACCTTGCTCCAGGAGATGCATTTGTGTTTTCTGTGCTGCTCAGCAGCTTCAAACACCCACTGGTTTGGGGGGTGGAAAAAAACCTGAACCATCCCTTGAAAGATTTCTTCTAGGGTACGAGATCTTTTGTCTTTCCCCGATGGCTGTCAGAATACTTCTTCCTTGTGTGAGCTTTGGCTTTTGTGTGTCTGGAGCCAATCTCCCAGCTCTGCTGTGCCCTGACCAGCCTAAGCTTTGTCTTCTCTCCATTTCAGGCACCTGGTTTTCTGCCTCTTGGACATTCTGCTGGAGTTCTTGGTTCTGAAGGGCTCCAGCGATGAGCTTGAGACTGCAGCTGTCGCGCCATCTGCCTCTAGTGGCCTGGACAAAGCAGGCATTTCAGCACATTAACCAGGGCTGGTGTAGCCAGCAGTGGAGGAGAGAAGCAGCCACAGGCATGAGATGATTTGATTTTCAGTGTTTACTGAACATGTCTGGGAGCTTCTTGTAAAGAATTTTTCTAGCCAGTGCTAAATGCGGCTGCTTCCAGGCTTCTCTGTTTTGGCTGGGTGATGGATTAAACCCAGTGGCAGGGGCTGAAGATGCTTTTCTGCTGTGTAGCATCTGTTCCATTGCTGACCTCATGGAAAGCCTGGAATGAAGATGCCTGACCTCTGCTGAGCTGGACAGTCCGAGAAGGATATGCAGGCTGCCCACAAACCCTGTTGTCTTGCCCCACATTTCTGAACATCTCTAACATCTAAAGGCAGACAGCACGTAAGGTTTGCTTTTGTGGCCTCAGGCTCCACCTGGCATTGGCATGCAGAGACTTGATGTGGCGGTATCTTGTTGATAGATGCGTGAAGGGAGGACCAAATGCTGTCCCTGCTCTCTAGGCAGCCTGCCCTGTGCCTACGCTGCACCATCCATTTTACCAGAAGGAAGACGGGGAGAGAATGGAGCATGGAGATGTGTTGATAGCCCTGAAGTCAGCGTCAGGCACCCATCCCCACTGCCCATATAACTGGGAGGTTGAAAGCTGTCCTGCCTTAGGGACAAAGATAAGGGGCCTCCTGCTGCCACTGCTCTGATATGGTCTCGTTCTGGCATATTCTGCTGCCTGAACAGCAGGATGCAAGCAGGGTAGACTGTGGTCCTGGAAAAGAGAACTGTCCTCAGGCTAAAGAGGAATAGTAGCTTAGCTGGACTTCAGGATTACCGTGTATTTTGCCTGCTGAGTCACGTTTTAGTCCCAGAGGCTGTCACCTGGAAGGCACAGGAGAAAAGGAGCTGACCCACATGTGACACACAGCAAGTAAATCAGCTCCCACACAAAAGTGCTTGTCACAGCAAGCTCTGGAAAAGGAGTGAGCACGTCTGAGCCCAGGAGGAATACTGAACGTGTGTCATGGACAGCCAGCAGGTTAGACCACAGCGATGGGCTTGAGAGCACCACCTTAGCTCTGTTGTTGATTGCTATGTCACTGTGGTTTGGTTTACTGTGACTGCTATTGCAACAGCTGTGTGCAGAGGGCTCTAGAAAGCTTGTCAGGTCATGATGTCCAGTGCCACCCAGCACAGAATGGCACGTCAATTTGGCAGCTGCTTTTCCAGGTCGTCCAAGACTTGAGTGGTTTTGCAAGCTTATGCTGCCCGGCTGTCAGGTTTGTGACAGGGCAAATGGACACAGAGAATATGGACACGGAGAATATGCACCAATAGACTGGTTTGGTGACCTGTTTTGGTGTATTTCCTGGGAGAAATATGAACTGACCAGTGCTGGACTTTGCTGATCAAGGGGACGCTGCTCCTCATGTTCTCTACAGATTAAAGCGCTTAGAAGAGGAGACTTCGCAAGAGGGAAGCATGCAGGATCATGGCTAGTTTCCGTGTTACAGTACCAAACAGTGCGTTTCACGTAGCCTGCTGTTTCTTGGAGCTGGATACTCTGTGGCATTTTTGGAGAGAATGTCACATAACTCCAACACGCATACTACTGAAAGCAGAGACGCTGCTCTTTCCAGAGGCACCTGCTTAATAGTGGACACACGGCGGTGTGTGCTTCTTTATGCTTCCGTTGTTTGTGTGCGTGTATTGTGTGAAAATACAGGGAATGATTAGCTTGCTGCCAGCAAGTATATTTTTAGGGAGCTCCAAGGACATCCCAAGACTAGGCAGAATCCAATGTAATGAAGCAAAGCAGTTTTGCATTGCTTATCAGAGCCATTTCTCAGCAGTGACACTTTTGAGATGGTAGACTTACCACCTGCTTGGAAAAGGAGGGAGCATGTGCGTTAAGTAGCTTAAGAGTAGATGAGGCAAAGGGTTGGAGAATGCTCCATATGGGATAATCCCAAATGGCTAAGCAGCAGGTTGAGAAGCAGGACTCCTGTATATCATTAAGCACAATATCTGCTTGGAGCAGCCACTTCACCCTCTCCTTCACTGCCATGCTCCTGTTTCCCTTCTTTTTCTATGATTTCCGTTTACTATATCAGCTGTCTTGAGGAGTGGGAGAAGGCAGTAGGAGAAGGAGCCATCAGCCAGGGATGATGTAGCATAGCCCTGTTGTGCTTGGTGGCTTCCCAGATGCTCTTGGTGTGCTTGCTTGCTATCGCTTCCTTATTAATTTTATGGGCTTGGAGCTCCAAGATTGTAGTCTGCTATTGATTAGCGATATCACTAAGAGACTGTTTGCTGAAAAGGATCATTCAGAGATGTACTGCAAACTATGGACTGCCAGCTCCACATGAGGGCAAAAGTCTAGCACAGTCCTTACAGACACTGAATGTGGCGTTGGAAGGACGAGCTTACATTTCTCCTTTGCCAGGAGGCCCTAGCATCCCTGCCGTTAACCCTGATCTCTGAAATTATGCAAATGACTCAATATTCAATCCTCCTGATGGAAATAATTTGCGATTTCTGCTGGCAGGCTCCAAGGAGCATAGCTTGAGAGCTGGTGCTTTTCTGGGATGGTGCAACAATGATTTGTGGTTGTAGCAGACAACTGCTTGGTCTGTGTGTCCTCTGCACCTTTCACACAGGGGCCTCGAAGCCTGCGTTTCGCAGACTTGCTCATGTGGCGAAGTAGCAACATCTCCTCTGAGTTTACGTGGGAGGAGCTGGGGCAGAGAGAGATGAAGTAGGTTTACTTGCATACGCTCTGAAGTCAGCAGCAGAGTCGGCAACAAACCCCAGCGGTTTGGATTGCAAGATCTTTGTTTTAATCACTAGAACCCCCTTTCTTTTCTTAGGGCGAGGAAAACAGAAACCAGGGTTGCCGGAGCCCTTTCTTATGCTCTTACTGGCTAGGCTTTGAACTCCCATTCTCTCCTTCATAGGTCTTAGTCCATTCCCACAGCTAAGGTGAAGCTGCCCAGGAACAGTGTAGGAGCAAGTAGCTCCTCTCTGTATCTTCTTGTTAAGGAATACAAAATCCAAGAAAAAGTTCAACTTTTTTCTAACGCCAGTTCTTTGCCTCACTATAATTTTCAGATTGAGTACAACAGTGACAAAGGCAAACTTCTGCATTCAGGTGGGCTAAAAGTTTATTTCCATTGGACTAAGACTAGAAATGCTGCTTTGGTAAAACAAACAAGACCAACAGAAAAACTTTAAACTCGCTCTGTGTATGTCGTACTCCCAGCAGGCTCCCTTTTTCTGCAGGAATTTGTGCAGATGGCTCTAGCCACCTCTTGCTAAAGGGAGGGTGGTGAGAGCGGCCAGATTTGATCTCAAGAAAAAGTTGCAGGCTTCTGTCATATTAGGTATAGAGCAGTACACGGTTCAGGTGGGTGCTCAGCTTTCTAGGTCCTACTGGACACATGCTATCTGCTTCCAGCCCACTGCTAGCTGACTATGTGGCATCGAGGAAAGTATTTCATTTCTCCCTGTCTCAGTTTCCCCCAGCATTGGTTAGTTAGACTGCAAGCTCCCTGGAAGCAGGGGCTGCTCGTGTGTATGTACAACACAGAGTGCGGTGGTACAGAGCTTCAAGGCACCACCATAAGCTAAATAGTAGTTGTTTTGCTGAGCCAAAGCTTGGTTTTTTGACTGTGTTTTCAGGGGAAAAAAAAAAAAGAGCGCCACCATGCACTGACTCCCTGTTGTATTTCCTGTATTCAAGCCCTTGTATCAGCTATTTGTGGGTGCAGCCGTTCAAGTCTGTGTAGAAGAGCACTGTCTTGAAAACCTGTTTTGTTGTTAAATGGGGAGCAAACCGGTGCTCCCAAGTACTTGTGACTTATGTTCTGACTCTGTGTACAATAATACTCTGTTTCAAACTTGTTTCTGCGTTTGGGTTTAAAATTCACCTTTGCCAAGTAACGGCCTGTGAGACAGCCCTTGGGAAGGGAAGAGCAGAGCAGGTAGAGGAGAGGCAAGAAAGCCCAGGTGGGAGTGGGAAGGGGGGAGCAGGCATCTCCCCAGGTGTCCCAAAATGCCTGGCTAGGGCAGCAGGGCTGGTGGCAGTGTGTCTGAGACAGTGGTTTGCCCTCCTGGCACACAGTGGCATCAGTGGGACTGCTCAGACATGGGAAAGACCAAAGTTCTTAGCAGCTTGGTCAGAAATAGGAACAGTTTTCCCATCTCTGGTAGCATCAGCATGGCTTCCTTCTTCCTGACAAGCGAACTTCTTGATTTAGGCTTTCCAGTGAGTGTGAAACCGGAGAAGCGATGTGGAGATCTTTGGCCTTTCTCCTGGAAGAAAGTGAAAGAGATTCAGAGAAGCAGGGATTGTGCAGACCCATCTCCACATCCCTTGGGCACTGCTGCTTAGGAAGTTCACCATGATATCGGTCCTGGAGGAGGAAAGCTGGTAAGCTATAAGGAAATAGAGAACGAAAATGAGAAATTCCACATGAAATTTGAAATATGACGTCGAAGAAAAAAATAGAGGGAGGAAGAAAAACCTGATACAATGAATGCTTGAGTCATGTATTATTCTGGATTAGCTCTGCCATGGAAAGATCCCATACACCCTATGAAATCCATTACCTACAAGCCAGTGAACATTTGTACAGCACATGATGTGGGGATCATAGCTGAAGCCAAGTTCCCCTGTATAATATCCACCCCAGGGTAGATTGGTCCATTTCCAGTGTCAACAGCCAGAGGATTAAGCATTTATCTCTGCAGAACAGTGGGTAATTAATAGCAGATCGAACTAGGGGCTACGCTCGAGAGAGCTTGCTTGTGACTATATTTGTGACTGAGTGCGGCTTTATTGCCTGCGGGGGAGTTAGAGGGAGTGGGGTGATGTTTTGTCTGTACCACTAGGTGCAGGCATTGCCTCAGTGATGTGTGCCTTGTAGCAGAGCATCGGTAGCTAGAGGGCTTTGCGCTGGGGTGGCATTGGGCTTCCCAAATGAACCTGAGGGTGAGCTTTCCCATTGTGGCCACAGGCGGTAGGTATTAGGGGTGAAAACCTATCAGGAGACCTCTCCTTCCAGCTGAAAGTTGGAAGAATGGAATCAGGATGCTGTGATTTGCCATCTTCTGGATTTAAATGTAAAATCCAGGTTTTGGCACTTCTGGCTTCCTTGAAATAAATTAATACCATTATCCTGGCC